ATGGGCACAGATGGGCAAGCGGAGCCCAGGGGACTTGGCGAGCGGTGAAGGGGGGGGGGGGTGGCAGAGGCTGGCACTGTGGACTGTGTGAAAGCAATCGGTCGGCAGCACTGCCGCCTGAATGCTTCCACCTGACAGGTTTGCCCTGGGCTAAGGGTTGAAAAAAGCTACCTGCCCAACGCCCGAAATGACATGTCTTGGGCGTCGGGTGATAGAAATTCAGCATCCCTGTCTCACTCTCATGTGCGTGGTGATATGTAGCATGTGTAGCACAATTACCACCCAACAGTTGCATTTTTTAAGTATGCCTGAGTATGTAGGTATGGGGAGGCTCACTTTTTTTGAGGTTTTTTTTTTTTAGTTTTGTGTCCTTATTAAAAAAAAATATATTTTTTTTTTAAACTTCTGATTTTATTGTTATCACATAGGGGACCAATAGTCTCCTATGTGATCGCATATACAGTGGGGCAAAAAAGTATTTAGTCAGCCACCAATTGTTCAAGTTCTCCCAACTTAAAAAGATGAGAGAGGCCTGTAATTGGCATCATAGGTAGACCTCAACTATGAGAGACAAAATGAGAAAACAAATCCAGACAATCACATTGGCTGATTTGGAAAGAATTTATTTGCAAATTATGGTGGAAATAAGTATTTGGTCAATATCAAAAGTTCATCTCAGTACTTTGTTATATATCCTTTGTTGGCAATGACAGAGGTCAAAGGTTTCCTGTAAGTCTTCACAAGGTTGGCACACACTGTTGCTGGTATGTTGGCCCATTCCTCCATGCAGATCTCCTCTAGAGCAGTGATGTTTTGGGGCTGTCGCTGGGCAACGCGGACTTTCACCTCCCTCCAAAGGTTTTCTATGGGGTTGAGATCTGGAGACTGGCTAGGCCACTCCAGGACCTTGGAATGCTTCTTACGAAGCCACTCCTTCGTTGCCCGGGCGGTATGTTTGGGATCATTGTCATGTTGGAAGACCCAGTCATGTTTCATCTTCAATGCCCTTGCTGATGGAAGGAGGTTTGCACTCAAAATCTCATGATACATGGCCTCATTCATTCTGTCCTGTACATGGATCAGTGGTCCTGGTCCCTTTGTGGAGAAACAGCCCCAAAGCATGATGTTGCCACCCCCATGCTTCACAGTAGGTATGGTGTTCTTTGGATGCAACTCAGCATTCTCTCTCCTCCAACATGACGAGTTGTGTTTCTACCAAACAGTTCTATTTTGGTTTCATCTGACCATATGACATTCTCCCAATGCCTCTTCTGGATCATCCAAATGCTCTCTAGCAAACTTCAGACGGGCCCAGACATGTACTGGCTTAAGCAGGGGGACACGTCTGGCACTGCAGGATCTGAGTCCCTGGCAGCGTAGTGTGTTACTGATGGTAGCCTTTGTTTACGTTGGTCCCAGCTCTCTGCAGGTCATTCACTAGGTCCACCCCGTGTGGTCCTTGGATTTTTGCTCACCGTTCTTGTGATCATTTTAACCCCTGGGGGTGAGATCTTGCGTAGAACCCAGATCGAGGGAGATTATCAGTGGTCTTGTATGTCTTCCATTTTCTGATTATTGCTCCCACAGTTGATTTGTTCACACCAAGCTGCTTGCCTATTGCAGATTCAGTCTTCCCAGCCTGGTGCAGGTCTACAATTTTGTTTCTGGTGTCCTTCGACAGCTCTTTGGTCTTCACCATAGTGGAGTTTGGAGTGTGACTGTTTGAGGTTGTGGACAGGTGTCTTTTATACTGATAACAAGTTCAAACAGGTGCCATTGATACAGGTAATGAGTGCAGGACAGAGGAGCCTCTTAAAGAAGAAGGTACAGGTCTGTGAGAGCCAGAAATCTTGCTTGTTTGTAGGTGACCAAATACTTATTTTCCACCATAATTTGCAAATAAATTCTTTCCAAATCAGCCAATGTGATTGTCTGGATTTTTTTTTTTTCTCATTTTGTCTCTCATAGTTGAGGTCTACCTATGATGCCAATTACAGGCCTCTCTCATCTTTTTAAGTGGGAGAGCTTGCACAATTGGTGGCTGACTAAATACTTTTTTGCCCCACTGTAAGTGACAGGTCCTCTTTGTGAGGGTGAGGAGGGGCTTAGTGTTTGCAGGAAGAGGAGAGGGACAATGTATACAGTGAGGAAGCCGAGAAGTCATTTGCCCTGCCACTAAAGTAAATAAAGGGGTGGGATCACCCAGCGATACCACCCCTCTGTTTACTTTAGTGGCGACTTCAGCGCTATAAAGTAAATGGGGAGGGGGGGGGGGGAGCCAGAAATTACATTTAAAACCAGCATTGACAGTGCAAGTGAGGGAGCCTGTCTGTGTACACTGCTCCCTCACTGTATACACTGTTCCTCTCATTTCCTGCCTTTCTCTGCACCCCCCCCCCCACCTTGTCTGTAGTACACACAGCCTCCCCACCCTCGTTCAGTCTGTTTTCTTCTTTTTTTTTTTTTTAGTAGAGATGAGTCACTGGTTGTTAGGACGCCAGTGGGTGCCAGCTCCTGACAACCTTTGCAAAAATAGACCGTTTGCGTGTTTACATCTGTTTTTCATCCTTTCCTTTTTTTTTTTTTTTTTTAAAGGAGCAAAAAGACTTTAATCAGTTTAATTAAAAAAAAATAAATAAAAGGATGCTAGCAAAGTGGACATAAATGGATGTAAACGGATGGTCATCCGTTTTTACATAGGGATGCATTGATGTCTGGTTTTTTTTTTTTTTTTTTTTTTCCATCCATTAATGGGTGGATGAAAAAAGACAAACGGTTTGCAAGTATGAAAAGGGCCTTAGTTGGAGTTTGGCTTCAATTTGTTAGGTGTACTAGCAGATTTAGATACACTAATCCCGCCAGACTGACAATGCTGCTGTCCAAAAGTGCCCCCTATGCTTCTTCCAGACTGAAGGCACTCTTTTATACATGAGGTGTGTTACTGGCCAGATCACCAGGTGGGAAAAAACAACTAATGCAGCCACCACATCTAATGATTGGTAAGCTGCAGTATATTTACATTCTTGGTTTCGGGTTTAATACCACTTCTATTTAAAATAAATAAATAGCTGTTATTTAGAACAAAATATTAAATTGTCACATTTGGATAATTTTTTTCTCTCAAACAAATAAATTCAATCCCTTTTATAAATGCACTGGATCAACTATGTCTTGCACCAATTGTACACATAGCCGTATTTAAATAATTTAAATACTTTTATTTCTTCTGTGCTCTGTATCAAATGCTACGTTTGTAATGGGCCTCTCTTATAAGGAACTGTAGGTTGATACGTTTTAGCTGCTACACAGAAAGTATATGTGAAACAATAAAAAAAAAAACTGGAGAAATGGAAAGTTTTTAGAGTAATGTTGTAGCAGAGTATTTAAATTGGTTAAGAGTCAATGTAAAGTGTTTGTAAACCCTTATGCATACCCAGTGAAGTGACCAACCTCTGTTGATACAAAAATGAAACCAATCCTCCTACATAAGTTGTAGCGGTCTATCTGCAGTTTTCTCTTCTCTGTCTGTTCAAAGTCCAAAATTTATAAAGCTTGTCTGAGAGTTCAGAAAAAAAGGGGGTAGAGAGCTGAAGTTACACACTGCAGAGCTAAGTAAGGAGAGCTCTGAGAGCTGATTGGAGGGAAGACGCACACCCCCTCCACACATGGAAAGAGCTGAGGCTGTCATTCTGCTGGAGGTCCCTCCCCGTCATATTTATTTATTTATTTATTTTTTGGTGTCATGAAAATTTGTCAGAAGTGATTCATGCTGATAGCAGAGGAACGAAGCAGCAGAGAGAAGTGACTTAGTGTTCTTAATTGAGCCAAGTGCACACTAAAGAGGGATATGGTTTGTTCCTATTCCATGTCTGAGGTGTACACCGACTTTGAAGTAGAAATGTTACTGCTGCCGTAGTCTTCCATGGCTGAATATTTTTGGTGAATTGGGATATCGCTTAGTGTCACTTTCAGGTGAGACTTTTGGTTTGCATATTACTTGGGAAGGTATGCTGTGGTATCTAGCACCAAGTCATCGGTGGCAGCTCCTTTCCAACAGTCCCTGGCCAGTGCTGATATCCTCTCCTCTGTACTGGTTTTCGGCCATCTTCATTGGCTGGGGAAGGATGACGACACTCTTGCGCATGTGCAGGAGCTAGTTATTTCCCACACAAGGGGATTGGGCCGGCTGCTGTAAGCTGAACTGTGCATGCACAGCTCCATTTACGTTTCAGAGATCACTGAGCAGGCAGGTATGTGTAGTTTGTTGAGGGGGCGAGACGTTGCAAGTAAATGTGTGGGGATCTTCAGGAAGTATGTTTTACAAACCAAGATCATTGAGATTAATAGAAATTATTATTATTATAGGTACTTATATAGCGCCGTCCATTTACGCAGCGCTTCACATATATATTGTACATTCACATCCGTCCCTAACCCTCAAGGGGCGTACCATCTAAGGTCCCTAACTCACATTCATACATACACATATTAGGGCCAATTTCAACAGGATCCAAATAACCTACCAGCATGTCTTTGGAGTGTGGGAGGAAACCGGAGTACCTGGAGGAAACCCACGCAGGCAGAGGGAGAACATGCAAACTCCAGGCAGGTGGTGCCGTGGCTGGGATTCAAACCAATGACCCTAGTACTGCCAGACAGAAGTGCTAACCACTTAGCCACTGTGCTGCCCAGAAATTGACAAAGAACTAATTGAAATACAATATGCAATAAATATGATTTTAGTTTTTGAACATAGATGTACTTTAAATTCCTGTTGTAGGGAATGTCTCCAAAAAAAAAAAAAATTATGTATGTAAAACCTTTATCAAAAGTGTTAATATGTTTTCTTTTTCTTTTTTTAGACTGCTATCCTGGCTTTGTTCATTGTTTCATCGTCCCGTGACATTGAGTGACTAAGGTCCCTTCTTCTTTGCTCTGTGTCCCAAGGGGAAGGCTGTTAGCCTTCCCCGCCATCTTTTTGTTTTTTAAAGACGCCAAATATGGCTGACCCGATAATGGACCTGTTTGATGACCCTAACCTATTTGGGTTGGATTCTCTAACTAGTGACTCATTTACCAGAGATGGACCAGATACTATTGATGAAGCTCTTGGCTTAGGCAATGTCCTAGAGCCTCTAGAACAGCTTGCAACAGATAGAGGACCTGGGCATGCAATTTCAGTTGTAAATGAGCGAATACAGCCTCAGGTGCTGTCAGGAAATGTTGTTCCTATTCTCCCACCAGAACCGGTGCTTCCCTCTCAACCAATCATCAACCAGGAACCTCTGAACCAAGGAAACCCCTTTATGGGCACACCATTGACTGTAACTACAGCAGCACAACAGCCGCATACAACAGCCGCACCTACAGCTCCAAAAATTATGATTCTAAAAGCACCACCAGGAATGACTGTTAGTGGTGTCCCTGTGACACAAATTCAAACTCTTACTCCTGGACAGACCGCTAACGGAGGCAAAGTAACCATTGCTAAGGTGCTTACAGGAACCCAACTGAGACCTGGAGTATCCATTGTATCTGGGAATACAGTACTGGCCAAAGTTCCAAGTCCAGCAGGACAGCCTGGTACAGTCAGACCTGTTCGACAGTTATTGCTACAACCAGTGCGCACATCAGCAACTTCAGTTGGTAGTGATGGCAATGCAAGCGTCAAACCGGCAGTCACGTTGACGTCCACTCCTCAGCAGGTAGAATAAATGTTCATACACTTTACTATATATATCTCTGGTGTGTTTCCTATTTTAGGTGCCTCTGTTTGTTTTTCTTTTGGTGTCTGTTACTTGTCGATCTGTCTGGATTTTTTTTTTTTTTTTTTTTTTTCTACATCCTTTAAGAAAGCAAGATGTCCAGCAATAATGTCAATTAGAGGGTTGAGACAAACAAACCATTTAACACTGACAGAGGTGCTTACAATGTTCAGCTTTAAGTTATGTAAAACCTTTCTCCAAAAAAAAAAAAGGGGGGGGGGGGGGAAAAAAAACCCCTATTTCTGCTCAACACCTCCCGCCCAGGGGTGGACTGACCATTTGGAAACTCGGGCACTGCCCGAGGGCCCGGGGTCAGTAGGGGGCCCCATGAGATGCCCCTGGTACCTTTTTTTTCATAGGCTTTTTTGAGTTTGGGCAAGGACACAGGGCCCCATGTTCCCCTATTGCCCGGGGCCCCATGAGTTGTCAGTCTGCCCCTGCTCCCGCCCGCCATATAGTAATATGATGTCCTCCCATTCTAACCGCACATGCGCGGCTCCCGGAGCGATCGGCGGTGCGCTGTGTCCCTCGGGCACAGCAGATCACCGATCCACGGAAAGAGCCAAAGATGTCGGCTCAGTCATATGATCAGCTGTGTCCAATCACAGCTGATCACATGTAAACAGGGAAATGCCAGTTATCGGCATTTCTCTCTCCTCTCGAGCTGTCATGCTGACAGCTCGAGAGGAGAGGCGGTAATCTGCATTCCGCAGAGGGGACATGTACACTGATCATCAGAGCACTGATGATCAGTGTAGCCCCAGCAGTGCCAGCTGCCAGTGCCACGTGCCAGTGCCCATCAATGCCACATATCAGTGCCTACCAGTGCACATCAATGCCACATATCAGTGCCCATCTGAGCTAGCTGCCTTTCAGTGCCACCTAACAGTGCCAGTCAGTGCTGCCTGTCAATGCCCATCAGTGCCACCTACCAGTGCCTCCTCATCAGTGTCCATCAGTGCAGCCTATCGGTGCCCATCACTGCAGCCTCATTAGCGCACATCAGTGAAGGAGAAAAATCACACTTATTTACAAAATTTTGTAACAAAAACTAAAACCAAAACCACTGAAAATTTTGAAAACAAACGTTTTTTTTCTAAGAAAAAATAAACCCAGAGGTGATTAAATACCACCAAAATAAAGCTCTATCTGTCACAAAAAAAAAATAAACATTTCATATGGGTACAGTGTTGCATGACTGCGCAATTGTCATTCAAAGTGCAACAGCGATGAAAGCTGGAAATTGACCTGGCAGGAAGGAGGTATAAGTGCCCGGTAGGCTTGTGGTTAAAGAATATGTAAACACAACATTTCATTATCCTGATGTGCTTGCGGTACAATATACTTGTATGGGAAAAAAAGTATCTTGTTCTGTTTGCATTGCTTCCTTTGTCTGAAATCACCGGTATTCCTTCCCTCTGCTTTCCTATTAAAAAGTGACCACACTAGGCATGAGAGCACAGAGTGATCAGTTCTCTAGCTGTACTAGAAGCTTGGCCTGCTCTCCTCCAGTGTTCAGACTTATACTGACATGCACCCCTCCCTCCCCTTCACAGCCATCCACTGGGAAGATCACTGTGCTGATGTTTCTCCACTCTCATCTCTATGCAGCTGAGGTTTCAGTTTTTAGCATTATCACAATTTGAGTGTCATTTACTCTGTCCTGCAACACTGCACCTATATGAAATTTTTTTTTTTTTTTTTTTTTTTTTTTTTTTTTTTTGAGACCGCTTTCTTTTGGTGGTATTTGATCACCACTGTTTGGTTTGTTTTTTTTTTTAGCTATAAATAAAAAATACTGAAAAGTTTAGAAAAAAAATGTTTTGCTCAGTTTGTTAAATTATTTATTTGCAAAATTTTATTTCTTCATAAATTTAGGCCAAAATGTATTCTGCTACATTTTTGGGGTAAAAAAAAAAACCCAAAAAACAAAATTAGTGCATATTTCATTTGTGTGAAAACAATAGTCTACAAACTATGGGACATATATTTGAAAATTGATGAATTGAGACCCTAACATGCCGAACGCTGGTATGTGGCATGGCAGTGATCAGGACACTGGTATGGGGTATGACTGTCATCAGGTATAGTGGTGATCAGGACACTGGTATAGGAGTAATCAGGATGCTGGTATCGGGGTGATCAGAACATTGATATGGGGCATGGTGGCGGTCAGGACACTGGTATGGGGGTATGGTGGCGGTCAGGATGCTGATATAGGGTATGGTGGCAGTAATCAGGACGCTGGTATGGCGGTAATTGGGATGCTGGTGTATGGGGTATGGCAGTGATCAGGGTGTGGGTATGGTGGTGATCAGGACATTGGTGTGATGTATGGGGATGATTTTTTTTTGCTCACTGTGACAGGAGCTGGCTGCATTTATTTATTATAGATATTCTGGGGCAGTGATCAGGGGCCCTAAACTGACACTGGGGTGGCCGGCGCTGTGGTGTGTGTGTGTGTGTATACAAGCAGCCTGACAGGCTGCTGTACACTTGCAGGCTGCAGGATCACTTCTCTCTGCTCCTCAGTGACAGCAAAGAGAAGCGATCTTTACTTTCACTTTCCAGTGTTTACAATATGAGTGCTGTGATTGGTCACAGCAGTCACATGGTAAAACACCATGTGATTGCCCAGAAACAGCGGTAATGCTGTCTGCTTTGTCCAGGCGATATAGTGATTGCCGGGATCCCGGGTGCGCACTCTGTGAGCCGCGCAGGAGCAGCCTATGCGGGCTGATGTAAAGGTACATTGGCCCACATCGGCAAAGCTTCCTGTCCACTGTGTACAGGGGTGTTGAAATTTTTGTAAAAACTAATTGTCCAGGGACTAAATTGGAGTTCCAATCCACTTGTCCCTCATGACAATCTAGTTGTCCAGATAGAAAAAAAAAAACATGAACCAAAACCCTTGTTAACTGCCTCCCGCCTGCCATATAAGGTAATGACGGGCGCAAGGCAGTTCTCTCGTTCTGGGAGGACGTCATATGACATCCTCCCACTCTAACAGCACATGTGCTGCTCCGAGAGCGTGCTGCGTTGCGATCGGTGGTGCGCTGTGTCCCTCGGACACAGCGGATCACCGAGCAACGGAAAGACCCAAAGATGTCGGCTCGGTCATGTGATCAGCTGTGTCCAATCACAGCTGCTCACATGTAAATAGGGAAATGCCGGTTATCGGCATTTCTCTCTTCACGAGCTGTCATGCTAACAGCTCGAGAGGAGAGCTGGTGATTGGCATTCCTCGGAGGGGACATGTACACAGATCATCAGGGCACTGATGATCAGTTTGCCCTGATGATCAGTGTAGCTGTAGCCCCAGCAGTGCCAGCTGTCATTGTCCATCAATGCCACATATCAGTACCTACCAGTGCACATCAATGCCACATATTAGTGCCTACCAGTGCACATCAATGCTAGATCAGTGCCCATCTGAGCTGCCTTTCAGTGCCGCCTATCAGTGCCATATATATGAGTGCTGCCTTTCAGTGCCCATCAGTGATGCCTGTCAATGCCCGTCGGTGCCACCTACTAGTGCCTCCTCATCAGTACCCATCACTGCAGCCTCATTAGCGCACATCAGTGAAGGAAAAAAATCACTTATTTACAAAATTTTATACCAAAAACAAACGAAAAAAAATTTTTTTTCAAAATTTTCAGTTTTTGGTTTGTTTATCAAAAAATAAAAAACCCCGAGGTGATTAAATACCACCAGAAGAAAGCTCTATCTGTGTAAAAAAAAAATTATAAAAATTTCATATGGGTACAGTGTTGCATGACTGTGCAATTGTCATTCAAAGTGCGACAGCGCTGAAAATTGGCCTGGGCAGGAAGGGGGTATAAGTGCCCTGTAGGCAAGTGCTTAAATCTGAGGTGCTTTATGGAATGTCTGGGGCTTTTAAAAACAAAAGGGGCTTTATGACGACTTAAACGTTTAATATTTTTAAACACTGCGCTGTTTATCTCCTCTTCCCTGCCTGTCTCCAGCACTGCACCCAAGGACTAGCAGGGAGGGGAGAGACCTTGCAGTGTGATGAGCACTGATTGGGTGCTTGTGAGGAAAGGGGAGTGTCAGGCTTATCCTTTTATCCCCTTCGCTGCCAGAACCGTTTTTGTGGTTTTTGCACACGTTTAAAAAAAATCATTTTAGGCCTGAAGAACACACAAAACTCCCAAACATTATATATTTTCTGAAAGCACATGCCCTAGAGAATAAAATAGTGGTAGTTAAAAATGTTTATGTTGCATGATATTACTGCAAAATTTCAGTAAAAAATGCACTTAATTTTAAAGCACAAAAAAGCAATAAATTACCCTTTTTTTTTTTTTTTTGTAAAATAAAGATGATGTTTCAGCGAGTAAATAGATATCCAGTATGTCAAACTTTTAAACTGTTAAATTTGCGCAAGCTCGTGAAATGGCGACTAACTTCAGTACCCTATATTTTCTATATACATAAATAAAAAGTGCGGCGCTAGTAAATTAAAGATCTAAAAAACACATATCTCAGATGATCTGAGAAACACACTGTGATATGTAGCACAAAAAGAGGTGATGGCTGATACATCAGGTGATATTATATGTCCAGACAAGTTGTCGCAGGATCCTGCGTAAAAGCTTGATATGACCTTACTTTTGGGTCAGTTACACTTTGCATTTCATTCCATTGTTTTAAGTGTTTCTACACTGTTTTACCTGCATAATTTTATGACATCTATTTTTGAAATAAATTCCTTGATTTTACCTACTACACTCTGAGGCACTTTTTTGGCTCCTATTGGAGCTAATAACTTCCAGGATATCCTATTACCCACCATTGCCACCGGAGGGAGTTCTATATCCATAGGAAAAGTCTATCCAGCCTTAAGGGGATTTCTGGACCTGGAAGCTGCCTACCACATACCACTAAGAGGGAACATCAGGACCATCTGCTCCCAGAT